TACTTGGAAGGCTGAGGCGGAAGAATCGCTGGAGCCCAGCAGGTTGAGGCTGCGGTGGCTAGGAGCGGCCACTGCACTCCAGTCTGGGCAACAGAGTGAGACTCCAACTCAAAAAAAAACACAAAGAACCAAGATGGAGTTGATACACCCAAAGAGCAGCCATTGTGACACTGCCTAGTTCTGTCATATTCTCTTAACATTGCCTAGCTTGCCCTCTAAACAAGGACAGAACCGGTTTCTCAGAGGTAGCTATTGATCATTGTTTTACAACCCCTCCCCAGCTTGTTTTATACTATTAGTTTTTCTATTTAAAGTATTTGCCTCCACCCATAAGACCCAAGTTAATCTCATCAGCCCTTCATGACACAGACCCCATCACCATGGCAGCAATCATGTGACTAACCCACCCATCTGCCTGCAGTCCATCACCTGATGTCAATACTGTGCTCACCTGCCCCTTGTGATGACATGAAAAAGACCACCACCCAATCACTTTAACGACCTGCCCCCATCAAAGGGAAGGTTTAAAAGCATTCAGCCTCTAGCCGGCTTGGTAGCTCAGCCTGTAACCCCGCGCCTTGGGAGGTTGAGGTGAGTGGACTGCCTGAGCCCGCGAGTTCGAGACCCGCCTGGGCAACTTGGTGAGACCTCATCTCCACAATAAATCAAAAATTAGCCTGGCGTGGTAGCGCGCGCCTGTAATTCTGGCTACTCAGAAGGCTGAGGCGGAAGGATCGCCGGAGCCCAGCAGGTAGAGGCTGCGGTGGCCAGGAGCGGCCTCTGCGCTCCAGTCTGGGCAACAGAATAAGACTGCAACTCAAAAAAATAAAAATAAAAAAAATTTTAAAAATAAAAGCATTCAGCCTCAACCCCAAACAAACAGCCATTTGCCATTACTTTGCTAAGATCTGGTCACGTGGCTCTTTTAACTACGGCCTCCGTGTTTGGCCCCCTCCCGAGGCCCCCTCCCCTACCTTGAGGAGGTGAATCCTCTCTCTCTCTCTCTCTCTCTCTCTCTCTCTCTCTCTCTCTCTCTCTCCCCGCCCCCCAGCCCCTTATAAATAAATGATATTTTCCAATCCAACTTCTGTGCAATTCTTCACATCTCTCACATGGCACTGGATGGCAGACCCCCTACCCCCGTCTGGTCTGACCTAACACTAATGATTGCACCACTGCACTCCAGCCTGGGCAACAAACAGAGTGAGACCTTGTCTCTTAAAAAAAAAAAAAAGCCCAGTTAAATGCCGCCTACTCTAAAGTAGCCTTCCTGGGATCCAACGAGATTCAGCCTCTACCTGTTCTGTCCTGTACAAAGCACTTCTTTTGTCTTTCTCTTATGTTCGCAGGGCATTCTGATTTCGACTGAATCACCTGTGTACTTGTTTTCTCTCGCCCTCACCCCCACACGGTGAGCTCACTGGGCGGGGACTGGGTCTTATTCATTTCTGCGTGAGCTAAGGATCTCACCCGCACCGGGTGTCAACCAGGGTTTTTTGTGGTTACTGAATGACAACAGGGGTCCCTGGGGTAGTGTTTAGGAGCAGGGGTGGGGGTGCACCACACCACTGATTATGCTACCAAACAATAACTTCTCCTCTGGATCCCAGGAGGGGAACTGAGACAACGGGTCGGAAAACAGAGCTTCAGGGAACCACAAATCCCTGCGGAGTGACTGCAGGAAACATCCAGCTCCCTGGAAGGTGAGGGAGCTAAGCAAACTCCCCAGCAGGCAGGGAGGGAGACAGGGACAAAGAGGCAGTTGGATGGAAAAGGCAGAGAGGAAAAGGGGGTGAGGAACCATAAAAGGGAACTGAGGGGGTAAAGAGAGGCCAAAGAAAGACAGATCTGGAACACAGGGACCCGGAGGGAGGAAAGGAACCAGAGAAAGGTCTAAGGAGAGACAGCAGCATTGCCGGCGATAGCCAGGGCAGCACCTGGCGGCAGTCCATAATCAGTTGTCTCTGTCTCAGGAACAGAAGACAGGACTGTGCCCATCAAATGACCATATTCATATGAATTTGTCACTAACTTGCTGTGTGACCTTGAGCAACTCCCTACCCCACAGCAGTTCTGGAGAATTGGATGGAAAGACTCCTGGAGTCCCAGCCCAAGCCTGCTCTGACATTCTCCAGTTCTCTACAAAGGCAGAGAAGTCGGGACACAGGTGGGGATATCTCAGGCAGTGGCTATGTCCAAGCACAGCCTCGAGGACCTGGGCCCTGGCATTCTGGCCACCGCCAGAAATTTTCCACCAGCTGCCTGTGTGCTTTTGTCTGTCTGGTTTGTGCCCTCTGGTGGTTAAGATATGTCATGGCAGCGCTGGTCTCTTGACCTCCCTCTGGTTCACCAGGCCCTTCGGAGCTGGGCTCCTGACTCACACAGAAGGCAATGCTGATTCATTTCCAAGGAGCCTTCCCACACCCACACCTGCCTCAGGTAGACAGGGTTTCCCGGACAGTTCCTGCTGAGAAGCCCAAGTAAATTTCTGAGATAGAAGCCAGATGCTTGAAAGCTGTTTTAAAAAGCCTAGGGATAGGGGCAGGAGGGAACCAGGTGTTAGAAATGAGGGACTAGCCAGGTTCGGTGGCTCAGCCTGTAATCCTGCGCTTTGGGAGGT